CTTATTTGGATGGTTTTGATTGATTGCCACTGTGATCATTTGGTTTTCTGGGTCCAGTTTGGTTTGATCTTGTCTTTTAGTATTGGTATTGTGGTTTTGTATGCAGATTTGATGATGAATTTTATGATTTTTAAGCAATTTCGTTGATGGGATTGTTCTGAATTCATTGAATTTAAGTCATTGTGGAGAAAGTTGTAATTTCTCTTTTTCTGGGTATATTTGTTAAGATCTATATGGTTGGTGTTGATATTATTACCTGTTTACTAGTTAAGGTTGAAAGATGTATATCTCTCAGGTTACAGGAGGTGCGAGACCTGGAGGATTGGAGTACCCAGAGCGAGCGGGCCAGCCTGTGTGCCAGGTACTTCACTTGGTTTTTCTAATTGGTTCTGAAAATAGGGGTTTAGCTCAAAATGCTACCATGGAGTGGTATACATCTGCTTAGTTCTGGAAGATCACATATTCAGCTTCCATTCGTATCCATTCTGGACGGAGGACCGTCATCTAAAGACGATTACATGCTTTATCTGTTGGATAATCCTTGAAAGTTTGTGAATCCCCTTTGTTTGATTGTGCTGTGATTCTTTGATGGCAGTACTATATGAGGACAGGGACTTGCAAATTTGGCGCTTCTTGTAAGTACCACCATCCTAAGCAGGGTGGAAGCTCTAGTAGCCCTGTATCTCTAAATTATTATGGATACCCATTACGACAGGTCTGTATTTCTTAAATTTTAACTTCAATTCTTCAATTTTTATTTATTTTTGGTCATATTGTAAATCCCATTTCATGACTGTGAGATAAAATATTGCCATCATGTTGCAAATAAAACAGGGTGAAAGAGAGTGTTCCTACTATGTGAAAACTGGACAGTGTAAGTTTGGTGCAACTTGTAAATTCCATCATCCACAGCCAGCTGGCATACCACTTCCAGTGCCATCACCAGCCCCTCAAGTTTCACCTGTACCTGCTGCACCATTGTATCAAACTGTGCAATCTCCATCTGTTTCATCGCAACAATATGGAGTAGTATTTGCAAGGCCTCCTTTGCTACCGGGTTCATATGTTCAAAGCCCCTATGGTCAAGTCCTGCTTTCCCCTGGCACAATTCCTTTTCCAGGTTGGAGTCCATATCAGGTAAGAAACATTTGCTGCTCCATTATCTTTTAAATTGCATGGATTTCCATTAAGCTGTTAGCCATATGATGCAGGCACCTGCAAGCGCATTGCCCTCTCCTAGTACTCAACCTGGTGTTGGTTCTGGAACACTTTATGGGATGAGTCAACTATCTCCTTCAGCAGCTGCATATACAGGAATGTATCAGCCTATACCTTTACCTTCTTCTCTTGGTCTTCCAACCACCAGCCAGAAGGAGCACTTATTTCCTGAAAGACCTGGTCAACCAGAATGTCAGTATTACATGAGAACAGGGGATTGTAAATTTGGGTCCTCATGTAGATATCATCACCCACCAGAAGTTGTTGGACCAAAAACAACTGTTGCCCTCAACCCCAGTGGTCTTCCTTCGCGCCCGGTGAGCCGCCCTTACAAATCCCATGTAGGCTTTTACTAGGGCATGAACCATCAATGTGTTCTTACTTAAAACTGTAATTTACTAGTGAACGATCTTTCAAACTCTCTCTCTGCCTCTCTCTCTTATTCAGGAATGTTTTATTCTTCTAGCTTGTTCAGGTTTCGTCATCCTCATGTGCTTCGTGAAAATATATGTGATATATGGACTGTTAGGTTTCTTTGGAAAATTGTAGATGGTTCCAACTTGAAACTAGAGAAACTGTTGGAATTCCCCAAGGAAAACATCTAGATATATTTACCAGTGGAAGAATATTTTTTACACAGCAGCACTTAATATATGTGGGAAATATGCGCTGAAACATAATCTTTGCCGCTTGATAGATGGTTTGTTATTTTGTTGGAAAAATGTGTAAGTTAGGGCTATCTGGATGATGATGATTGTTTGGACCTAGGGTCCACTTTAGGGAGCATCACTTTCTCAGGGTTATTTTTTCCAGTCTTTTGGGTTTCTTTACTTTTCCTTCCATTTAAGTCACTCTTTTCTTGGTTGCTTCTTGGTGATATTGGCTGTAAAATCTGCTTGTCCTCTGCATTTTTAACTCAATCTGCTGGCCGTCTTTCTTAGCATTATATTTATGTTCAATATTCTTTTTTGTGCTTTCTTGTACTGTGAATGCTTTCTTGGTCATTTATGCACTTCTCTCTCTCTCTCTCTGTCTCTCTCACTTGCTCGTTTTTCTGCTGTGAATTTGAAATTCTATGTGATAATCAGGGTGCACCTCTTTGCACTCACTATGCACAACGAGGAGTATGCAAGTTTGGGCCTGCATGCAAATTCGACCATCCAATGGGAACACTCAGTTACAGCCCATCAGCGTCTTCTCTTGCTGATATGCCAGTTGCACCGTACCCAGTGGGATCATCAATTGGTACGCTAGCCCCATCATCCTCATCCTCATCCACAGAATTGCGGCCTGAGCTTAATTCAGGCTCTGGAAAGGACTTAGTTTCAGCCAGAATGTCTTCATCACTGAGCACTTCTAGTGGATCAGTTGGTTCAACTGTTTCTAAGGGTGGTATTACCCATTTGGGTGTTCAACAGTCTGCTCAGGGTTCTGGCCCTTCAACTAGCAGTGGCAGCAGTACAGAGTCTCATAGTCCAAGCTAAGCAATGCCAAGCAATTTTTCATTCTTCCTTTTTGATCAACTTTCTCCCAAAGCATCATTTTTTCTTTTTTCAAGTCCTCCAATAGAGGCTTCATATCTCACTGGCTTAGCATACATCAGTCATGTTCATCTTTGTGTCTATATCATCTTTATATGGCCTCCCCTTTTATCTTGAATAAGCCATGGCCAAGCTCCAAAAGTTTAGCAAACCCCATATAGTCTTCCACTTTTCTCTTCAATAACCGTGAAAGAATTTGCAGTTCCGTTAGGCAAATCTGTGTCCAGCTCTCCAATTTTGGAGTGTGTTATGTTCATTTGTGGCCTTTTCCAGAACGAAAAGATTAGTTCCACGGTGTTCTCGCTTTTAGATTGACCGTGTGTAATTCATGTCTATCCTTTCTGAATTTTCTTTTAAATTGGGGAACAAGCTTTCACTTAAACTTTGAAATTTGAATGCTTGTTCCCCCACTTTTTGTCCAAGGTCTATTTTGAGAAAGAGAAGTAAACTAAAGACCCAAGGAGGCATATCACAATGCTTACTTTTATGTGGGATCAGATACGTAGTTATTTTGTGTCAGTCAATTGAAATGCTTGACCATGTTATTCATATATTTATTATGAAATACAAAATATATGAAAATACCACTCTCGACTGTGTAATAATCTCTCTTCCTTGATATCTCTTACTTTCCTGTAGATTGCTTGTAATGCATACATGCCAAATCATTCCAGTGTGATGATATATGGCAGGCTTGAAGATGAATCTTTTTGGGCAATTGGAAATTTTTTTCATCCATTTTATTTATTTTTTAAAAAATATTAAAAACCATTGTATGCAAAACTTGATCCATTGAACGAGAAACACTTGTGTGAAAGCCAATCATGGCATGCCATGCGTGATAAATTTTTCACGTGACAGTCAGTGATTGGCTAAGAATAGCAAAACAATGTTGACAAAAGTTTTTCTGCCATTGAAGGGTACAACTCCTGCCTTTTAATTTCTTTCCATCCTAAACATGGAGTGGAATTGAAATTGATGGGATGTGCGGTAGTTTAGGAACTTTATGGCTTTGGTCATATCTTCACCCCTCCCAAAGATTTGCCCAAGTACCATATGTTGGAGAAGAAGATATTCCCAAGGAAAATATATTATAGGGTTTATGCTGGAATTTCCCATAATACCCATTATTTCCAATTTTCTTGTGATGTCTTTTCTCCCTTCCAACAAAATTCACACTATTACATTGCCCATAATAACTTTATTACCCATCAAGTTACGGAAAAGAAACTGAAGTCACAACCTCTTCCCGCCATATATGTGCTATTCAGTCACATTTTCCGTAGTCTGATTTATTTCATGGCATGACCGACAAGAAGACAAGATGAATCCAGGTTTGAAGGCAATGAACTATGTTGGCAAAATTAATGGATCTCATTGCTTTGCAAACTAGTAGTGCTCAAGGCATCCTTAAAAAGAAAGACAAAGGGACAAAAAATAACACTGAAATGAAGTGCTTATCCTACTTTAATCTTCAAGTGTAGAAGAACCTCCAACATGTTCAGAAGCCTTGTGTTCCCCTTTTACTTGCATAAATTTAGGAGCATAACTTCTTTAGTCACCCTGGTCTCCTTAATCTTCCAAAGTTCTTAAATAGTATAAAGTTTTTTTTTTTTAAATACAAAATGAAATTAGAGTAAAAGGGATCTCGAGTGCAGAAGTACATATTTTTAACTACTCAAACTATAAGACACTTCCTTAACTTTGGTCCTACATATTTTACCCCATCATTAATTGAACCAAAACTATGGACCAAACAGAAAGTAAATAAAGAGAAGCGTTATTGCAAAGCACTAATACTTTTGCAATTAGTGGTCCATCTGTGTTTGTGCATCTAAATTATAAGTTGCATGCATCTATTGTTTTCAGGCTACGTTGTCAGTAAAAGGTGAGGCAAATAGCCGTAAAGGTAGACACATAATGCATCTATTATATATGCCGACCCCATAAAGAGCTAAGCTATAGGCAGTATTATGAAATGGGTGCAAAAGATATATGTGACAAAGACTTCATAAAGTAGTACTAGATTTCTTTCAAACAATTTCCATTAAAACTTGTAAGAGCCATAGTAAACATTGATCTAAATCTCCTCCTCAAATGGCTCCAATGGAGGTTTTTTAGAGTAGTTACAATGAAAGAAAGAGTTGCAAGAAGGGAAAAAAAACCCAAGACACAAAAAAGAGTGCATGCACATAAATTAAATTCACTTGATAATCCATGGATGCACCCACCAAAAGTTAATCAAAAGAGTGACTGGCCAAACTCAAAGACTACATCACCAAAAGGAGGAACTGATGGAGAGCAAGAGAATGAAGAAGAAGAAGTAGTTGCCTGAGGTATTAAGCCAAAACTAGAATTTTCGACGATCGGATACAAACCTCCTCCTCCCATGCATCCATCTTCAATCATGAATGGATTGTCCACCATGGCTGCAGACAGCTCTCTTGAATGCAACTCCCATATTGGCTGCTGGTTGTCCCAGAATCCATGGCTGAATCCATCAAAGCTAGGAAGCTGATCTCCAGGAGGGTTAGTGTTAGAAGCCATTAATGCAGCTTGCACATTCATAACATCTAGACAATGTGATTTGGTTTCAATGGAGTTAGTGTTTGCAAAGCTACAATCTTGATCAATATTAAAGTCACTGGTTTTGGAGCTTCTGTGATTAGTGGCATGATGATCAGATTCAGAAGGAGGCCTCAAGCAGTTGTCAGGAACTATGCAGGCCAAGTAGCCTGAGTTAGAATTAGAACCATTGGAGAAAAAGAAACCATCATCATCCCCATCATGTGCAGATGAACCATGAGAGGTTTCAGCTCCACATGTGTTAATGTTATTGGACCTGATATTGGGGTTTTGAGTTTGATCATTCTGAAAAATGCCAGACTGACGAGGTGGACTGTTGTGATTGGTGGGTTGTTGTTTGGCAGCTGAGAAAAACTGCGATTGTTGTGGTAAAAGGGTTTGGAGATCAAAGGGTGTTAGGAGAGAGTGAAAAGTGGTGTTGTCAGAATAAATGAAGTTGGTTCTTGCTTGTGAGCCTTTCATGGACAGAGCAGCTCTGTCATAAGCCAGAGCTGCTTCTTGAGCAGTGTCAAATGTGCCAAGCCAGTGCCTTTCTTTAGTGCTAGGGTCTCGAATTTCAGCAGCATATCTTCCCCAAGGCCTTCTCCTCACCCCAAGAAACCTCCCTGGCTCTGCTTGCTTTCTTCGGCCCCTTCTCTCACCAGACTGAGAGGGAGGTGTGCTCCTCTGAAGCACAGAAGCAAAACCCATCTGTGCCTGGCCCTGCTCATAAGCTTTAAAGGGTTTATCTGAGGTTTTGGAGGTGGACATTGGCACGGTAGAGTTACAAGTAGAAAGAAGCACTAGAGAAAATGTGCTACTTCTAGAGAAGCAAAGCCAAAAATGCGGTTGGATGAATGAGCTGGGTTTTGGTTTTGGTTTTTGAATGGTGAAGAAATGTGGAAGTTGTAGGAAGGCTTTTAAAGACTGATATATAATCATGAGAGAGGGAGAGAGAGAGAGAGAGAGGCAGGCAAGAGCAAGGAAAAGGACATTGCAGATGTCATTCTGTGGAAGACCATTCTTCCCTTTTCCACCTACTATTTTAAAAATCTTTCCTTTTCTCATTTCTATTTAATCCCAGAGCTCTTCAGCTGGAAAATAATAACAGGCTAGCACTTGTACGTGAAAAATGTAGGAGATTCCCAGCAGTACTTGTCAAAACAAAAACTCCAAATGGAGATCTACTAGCTGGTCTGCAGTTTTTTCATTTTCTAGCTACAGTCACTTTCTTCCAATTTCCAACAACACCCTAATAATTTATCATCTACACTAAATTTCAACCCTTCAAAATTGCAGTTTTAAACTAATGAGGTAATTATTGCATCATGTCTATGTAACTATTGGGATTTGGTGAGAGAGAGTTTTGTTGGTTTTGAATCTTAATATGATCCACTCACGTGTGGAGCTAAGGTCTAATCTATGTGAAAAAATTTGACAAGTAGTAAACTTTATGCTTGAAAGCTCCATGAACCATTTAATATTATTAAAAATACTTAAAGTTTCAGAACAACCCAAGTTGAAATTAATGTCAAAGTTTGAGGACCAAGAAGATGACTGGTAGATAAAACCCCCATCAAAACTTGGGGATCAATTCATGTACATATAAAAACAAGAAAAATGATCAAAACAGCTGCGTGGTTTTTTGAGTACCTACTCCTCCTACAGAAAGTCTTTAAAAACAAATTTTGAATTCATGATGTACCAACAAAAATTTATCTCTAATATTCACATGTAAATCCGCATTTTCTGCAACCAAATTCTTGTAACTTCTTGTCTGCTTCACGATTTTCAAACGGAGCAGTTAAGATTTTATCAACTAAAATCAAAATTATCAAAGAGCCAGCATATTCTATTGAGCTTGTTTTTTTGGTCTGCATCACGGAAACAACCCCACATCAGAGTACAAAAACAATAGGCTCCCTCATAAGGGCCCATTGCCTCAAAGTTTTATGCTTGTTTTGTTTTGCTGGTCTATATATGCCTCATATGTAGGATTTATATATATTTTTTAGTAGCAGTAGAAATAGTAACCATATGACATATGCATAATTTAACTTCTGGCATTCTCTGAGGGTATAAGAACTATAAAAATATTCAATTTATATAAATAGAAAATAGTAACCATACGAAAAAGAGACTAAGGCCACGGTTTGCCTAGCCACGACCGGCCGTGGCTGTGTAATGGTAAGCTAGGGATATAAAGTGATGATAAACAGATGCAGACATAAAATGATGGTAAATTTGGAGACAAAGGACTAATATATATATATATATGCAGCAAACAGATAGTGAACATTCCATTTTTACTACAAGTTACTTCACAATGAACCCTCTTAATTAACATATTTTCAAGTAAAATATAGCAAATTTTGATGGAGACATGACCCTCAAAGTAATCAGAAAAGCGACTTTTAGTCAAAAGGAAATCAAAAGCTTAAAACAAAACAAAAAACTCTTGCAAAGCAAAGGGGGGATTAAAACTGCCCAAACAAAAGCTATAAGTGGGGCATGCATAATAATAAACCCATTTGGAGGGAAGCATTATCCATTAATTAATTAGGCACTTCCAATACTGAAAAGCACTATTTAATCCCTTTGATTAAACCTCACATTGCCTAAACAGCATTGGGAATGACATAAACTAATCATAACAGCAAATGGGTCAACCTGCTTTCAGTTCATTTAGCATTTCCAAAATGTTGCAATGCTTTGCAACTGGTCACTGTCATGGTCTATTTGTGATTGTCTAAATCTAATGGACCTAACAGATATGAACAATGAGGAAAAAAAAAAGGGTATATTTTCAAACAGTTGAACAAAACATAGAGATGGGTTACAACTTACAAGGATAAACAATGAAATGACTAAAATTTATCAAAGTTTTGTTGTTGTTTTGTTTTCCAAAAAAAAAATTGTTTCTTTCCAGAATGAGATGGACTCAATTGGAATCTATGACCCTTGACTCCTCCACTAAGAAAACCCAATAAGATAGGATTGTTCCATAATTTCATTAAACCCCATCTGAATAAATTCAATAGAAAGTGAAGGGTTTTTATATTTATTTATGACTTCAACACCAGATGAGAAGAAAGGTTAGTCTTTAGTCAAGCCCCATCTGAGAAAAAGTGTTAAGCTAGTTGGAAAGGATGATGGAGCACAGCAACTTGACAAAGCACTTATTAGATTTTGCTTAAAATGGATGAGCTTGAAGTTGTAATTTTGTATTAATATTGACCAAAAACAATAATATAAGAGATGGGGTAGGGGCCTGACCTGAGGGCCTCCTCCTCTGTCTCACTGTGACAATTTGTCCAATCCCTTGTTCCTAGTTTTTTTCTTTGACATGGGTCTGGTTTTGGGTCAAATGGGAATTTTGCACACTCCCCAAAACAGGCACACACACTTTTTATTTAGTGTTAAAGGTTCGCCCGGGATTTAGGGAAAAAGATGGATGTGTCTTTCCCTTGTTATGACTTAGGACTTTGGACTTAGACACCAGAGAGAGAGAGAGAGAGAGAGAGAGAGGGAGAGAGAGTTTTGAAGTTTTTGGAGATTAGTGGTCTTTATATTGAAGAAAATTTGTGTGCACTTTTGATTCAAAATGTGTCCAAATCCCATGTTAGATTTTAGCCTTTTGTGGTTCAGCTACTTTCTACTTTCTAGTAAAATGCAACACTCTCGTGTCCTTCCACTAAGTAAGCTGCAAATTAATAAACCATTTATTTTTCTGAGCAAATTAACATAATGTTTTTGTTTTGGCATTGCGGGATGCGGCTTGTGTGATTGCTTTCTGATATAATCCCAAGGTGGCAGACCACTGCTTTGTTGCTCTAATTGTTTGTTTATCATCAATTCATCATGCAACCAAGACTGGTCTCTCTGTCTGGCAAATCCATACTTTCATGGCCTTGGTGACAGCTGTGTCTTTGGTCCCCATAACTGGAGCTTATTTACACAATGGCATGGCAGAACAAGTATTGAAATTATGGCATGTGTTACAAATCTGTAATTGAATTGAGAAGGAGTTAGATTGAAGAGAATTAGATTTTGGATTCCTATTCAAGTTATTTACTAAACCATATGGATTGATGGGCGTTAGATTCCAAATTCTTATTGAAGTTGTTTACTAAACTATATAGAATTTGGGTAGGAGTAGTACTAATTACTAAAATGTTCTTATAGTTATGTTAAAGTAAATGTCAAATTTTAAAATTTTAAAACAGTGTGGGAATATAATGGGTAAAAAATATGGATTCCTAATAGGTTAATTATACAGGAATTAGAATACCAGCTCCCATCCAATAATTGAATTCATCCAAAATTAGGAATTCAATTCCTAATTTTGTGTGGGCTCCACTTACTTTTTAATTCCTTGATATGAAGTGAACATAGGAATCCTCCATATGTGGAATTCAATTTCTTATGAGAATTCCAATTCCTGATTAGTAAATACACAATTATTATAATTCACGATTTTCTCTATGTTATTAATACATGAATATTTGAATTATTTTGATTACTTATTTCCTCACGTTTACAAACTCAAAACATAAGGAATCAATAATTATATTAGTTTTATATTAAAATTTATAGTCTAATACCTGAAAACCCATAAATTAGAATAATTAGGAGGAATGAGTTGATTTCATACTCAGCCCTTCTCTCCTCTATTCCTAATATTTTGATTCATTATTTCTATTGTAAGTAACTAATTAAGCATGCATGCCATTTAAGTAAAAAGAAGATGATAGTCTGAAATCTATTATCTCATCAAAAGTGTGAAAGTATATATAAGATGCACTCAAACTCACTAGGTGATAAATAAAGTTAACAAATTGAGGTGGCAACTTTGAATACACGCAGCGATAATTTGACTTGAATTGAAAATAACATGACACTACTTGACAAGTCTGAAAATAACATGACACCACTTGACACGTATTCATGTATAACACAAACACTTTAATACGAATAAGTTTGAAAATAACATGACATCACTTGACACGTATTCATATATAACACAAACACTTTAATATGAATAATAAACGTGACAAGTTATTAATTTCAAACATAAATACTTTAATTTCGACACAATTAGTTAAACAAGTGAAATTAAAATTAACATGTTCTAAGTGACAGAAAAACACGATCCACTTACCATGTAAATAAGAATTTACGCTAACCATAAATTATCTAAAAAGTTGTTGGATAATGATTGCCTAAATTCCCCGCCTTCTATGTCAAATTAAAAATACCAAAGCTAGTCCTAGTATGGTAGTACAAATTACTATTTGAGAGGTTAAGGCCAACCACTCCGGGACACGTGGACACTGTTGCCCTCGGACACTGTAAACATGCAATGCAGTAGGACTGTAGCATCCACCACCACTATCATCATCATCATCAATTATCCATTCAAACAAAGTGCATGCGTGTTGAGCTCTCAGGCATGTCGCTGATGTCACGGTGACGTGGCATAGATGAACAAAGATCTTCGTACACATGTAAAAACTACGTAAATCACGGAAAAAACCCAACAGCCCTCCTTGTAAAGCAAAAATGGGAGAGGGAGATATGAGATACGAGGTTGGTTGGGAATGAAGCAGGTTCAGAAGTTTCTACAGAGAACAGTGAAAGCGAATCTAAAGAGTAAAACCCTACTAGAAGTGGTCAAAGATTCAATCTGGACGGTCTGATCTGATCTGATTGAGATTGGACGGCCAAAAGGGCCTCTTGTCTTTGCCTTGGGGTACAAACCACGATAGTTG